TGACATATTTAGCAGTTTGCATAGATTTAACAATACTTGTGAAATTTGACTTACCCAAATGTGTCAAGACCACAGAAGTACATGTACATGCACATATATGAACATTTTTGTACATGTACAATGTATGTACATAGTGTGAATGTTACATGTACAAGTACATGTAGCCGTGGTAATGTCCTTATCCATGTATGGATGAAATGTTTATTATTGTTTGTTGTAATGCTATTCACCATCCTTGATGCATGGCATGCTGTAATATCATGTGGGCCTACATGTACACCGCAAGCGAGTTCAGAGTAGATAAATGAGATAGGTTCAGTCGCGCATTGTGTACATGTATGTATTCATGGTACATGCCAAAATACATGTACATGTAACATGTTAGCCTACGTGCACTCATACATATACACTGTACGTGTATAGGCATTCCAGTATGTACTGTATGCTGATAGTGTCCCAGTACAAGTCGGAACAGAAAAATTCTCAAAAATTGTGCCAAATTTACTGGATTTGGTACATGCATACATGTACATGTACATTCCTGTCAATAAAATTGCATGTGTTTGGTTTTTTAAGATACATGATTGCGTTTTAAATACAAAGACACATTCTGCTTTTCCAAATCCTCCTGTTTTGACTTATTTAATTCTGCTTCTTAGGGTACAGGGAGGTTATGTATTTCATTTTCAAAAACCTCTGTACAAACTTGTACCAAAATCAGCACTGAAGAGGAAAGATATGCCCTAAACAGATATTTCTTTTAAACAAGTTGTAGGTCTGTTGGCAAATATGTCACAAACATAAATAGCCTTTTATCTCTGACTAAACACACCAACCGGCATCTCTCACCCCAGACGTTCACAGCATGGTGCAACTCTCATCTTCGGAAGTCCGGCACAGAAATCAAAGAGATCGACCAAGACTTCTGTAATGGCCTAAAGCTGATCAACCTGCTGGAGGTCATCTCCGGTGAGAGGCTTCCCAAGCCAGAGAAGGGAAAGATGAGGGTGCACAAGATCTCCAACGTGCAGAAGGCCCTGGATTTCATCGTGAGTAAAGGCGTCAGGCTGGTTAGCGTCGGGGCTGAAGGTAGGCGGTTTGTAGAATGTGTTATTGCACAGACCTTTACATCTGTTTGTTAACGTGACTTAATTTCTTAACCGAGATCCTAACATACTATGTCATGTCATGTATTTGTGCGTCGTATGCAAGTGATAAGATTTTATAAAGTGCATTGTAGGGCTATGCCGAATAACCAAATATTTGATCAATTGTCAAATATTTGAATATTATTTTTTGAATTTGAATATTCAAATGCAAAATTCATGAAAGGAATTGAACATTTTCTTTTGTAATAAATGAGAAAAAATTGCAGTATAGAGGCTTGTTTCAAGCAGATTCAAATGAAAAGTGTCAGAAATCTTACAATGTAAAAAGTAAGTTATTCATTAAACAATTTAAAAGGAATAGAAATTTTCAACAGGACAAGAAGTCGTGTTCATCTCTTAAATCTAGCTGAATTATGGCTGGAGACACTCCTAGATGTGAGAAGCTATTAGATTGATCATAATGTACATGTACATATACAATTGTGTGTGTTATTGCAACTGATTTTGTATACGGATTGTTCTTCAACAATGTACTGGTCGGTATGAATGAATATTCGGATGTTCAATCAAATTGAAGGCCGAATATTTGAATAGTGAATTATTCGAATTGACTCAGCCCTACATTGTACCGGGGTACATGTACAATATTCACGGGTACATGTACATGTATGTGTATATACATGGACATGTACATGTATGCATGCACATGCACATATTCAAGTGTAGTGGGAGGGCATCCTTCCTCCAGGGGGAAGGGTTTAGGTGTCAGTAAGTTGTTCATTTAAGGAATACAGGCCCACAGCTTTAGCCATGAATAGTCTTGTTGTGGTCGACTGTGCGTTTCCCTTTGGAAACCCCAAATGATAACTAGGTGGATGTAGGTGTACATGTGTTCAAGGCCTCCTTCCAAAGCCCAGTCTGACAGAAGAACAGCCACTTGAGGGAAGCTCAAAAGACCTACACTGTACATATATTCTTTTCCATGCATCAGTGTTGACATGTACCACTTTCCATTCTCTGGAAGAGATCTCATCATTTGTGGAGTGGAATGCGAGGTTCTTCACGTAACTTACATGTACATATACATGTACATGTATGCACATACTTACATGTACACGTACATGTATGTAGTTATGCGAGACGTACATGTACACAGGCATGCAACTTTTCCACGGATCTGCAGATTTCTGCATTTTTTAAAAATCCGTCCGTGGGCTTGTTTCTGTTTGCACCGTGGCGCTGGCCATGCCAGCGTAGTGTACATGGAGTTCCACTTTTCAGTACACATTAATGAGCACAAAAACCTCATCTGGCCCCTTGTTTTGTGCACGCGTAAAATGCACTAAAAAGTGCAGGACACAGACTCAGCACTGTACGTGCAAGCGCTCTCTGTTGA